GAGAGTTTGACCACTACTCTGACACTTCCTCTGGGCTCTCAGAAGGGCCTTTGAAAGTCTCCCACAAATCACTGCTTCAGGAAGCTGTGCTGGGAAATGGGAAGTAGGTATCCAGGAAGCAGTGAACAGTGTGATGGTACAGTACAAATGTGGATGAGGGGCAAAACTCCACCCAAAAGTACATGGCAAGTGTGAATACACTGCATTGCTGGTTCTAATATCAGTGCTCTTCTGGCAGTTCTGTTTTGTGGATGCCCAACTTGAGACATTTTAAAGCAGTGGTGCCCAAACTTTTTCTGTTGCACCCCCTATTACCAGTAATGGAATCTGTCTGCACCCCCCCCCCCATTCCTGCACAGTTGGCTCAGCAGAGGAGCTTGGGCTGCAGGTGGAGCAGGGGCAGAACTGAGGACGGGGGAAGAGCTGGGGCTACAGGCAGAGCTGGCCTGGGGGCAGAGAGGGGTTGGATGGTGCTCCATCCCCGCTTCCATGGGGGCTGGCCCAGACCCCACCACACACCCCCACCCTGAAGTTCCTCTGCAACCCTAGGGGGACGCACCAATGTTTGGGACCACTGCTTTAAGGGGATCCTGTTTTCAAACAGTGCTGAACATCCACCTTTAAGATGACTCAACTGAGCACCAAAAAAGTTGAAGCACCCCAAATCAGTCACTTATTAAAAAATTGGCCATAAATGTTTGATAAGTGCCCATGCTCAGGCTATGGTGCACTGAGAGTTGTTACATTTCATCTTTAAAAGCAAAGACATGCCTGCAAACATTTAAAAGTTGTTAATAGTAGCATTTGGGGGAAAAAATAAGACATCCCATTTAACTCCACTGATTAAAATGTACTGGAACTCAAAATGGAAAAATATTTTGCTACAAAATAGAGATGATGTGGATGGTTGGCTATGTTACAGTTTCTAAAGTATGTTTGATAGCACAGCATAGTTGTAGAAGTCGGGACCTCTTTTTTATAATATTAATAATAATTTGCACTGTCATAGCACCTTTTATCAAAGGACCTCAAAACACTTTAAAAGTATTAGTTAGTTAAGCCTCACAATCTCCTTTGTGGTAGGGAATATTTCATTACACTCATTTTACATTTGGGAAAATGGAGACCTGGAGAAGTTAAGTAATATGGTTCAGGTTGCAGAGTAAGTCAGTGGTACAACTGGAAGAACTCAGGATTCCTGAATCCCAGTCCCCTACTCTCACCCTTAAAACAAATCCCAAGTCAATATCAAGTTACATGTCTGACCCTGTAGATACTTATCCTTTTTTTTTTTTTAATGAGGCATTAGTTTGTATAAAATTGTCCATTGGAACAAACCATTTAAAAAGTGCCATAAGTATCGTTACTAGGACATTTTTAAGCTTTACAAGTCTTAACAGCTCCTTTTAATCAGCTCAGGAATTTAAATCCCCACCAAACACATATTATCTTATGTTATTTCATTACAAAGGGCACAGTATAATGCACTGACCAAAGTTTATCTTCCTACTTGCCCTAAAAAGGGGGAGAATAATTCACAGGTTGATTGCAAGATCACTGAAACTTGCCATGTGGAAAAACATAAGCAGTAATGTTTCCATCTTCAGACCACAAACTAACTGTGTGACCACAACAGTTATAACATAGCTGTTAACAAGTGTTACAGTGAATTTCACAACCCTGCAAGCTATTATTTATGTAAGTAGACACACTGACTTCTGTGAGACTACCCAAGGCCTACTGTTGATGTCAAAGGAAGTTTTTCTATTGACAGCAATAAAAACTGGACTGAGTCTCAAGTGAGAACTGCAATTGCGCCCTGCTCTGTAGCTTTTTATTTCAGTAAGTTAGTGAAGGTCATACATCTGACACTTCTCTGTTTACTTTTGTTTTTATATGCCATTTTGGGGTGGGTTTTTAGAAAATCAATAAAAAAAGAAGTGTAAAAAGTACTACTAATAATTAAAAATATTGAACATTAGTTTAAAAGGGTTTGGATTTGTTTACATTTTTTACAAGATTTCCCCCCCTGTATTACTGGTCAGGGAGTTTTATCTATATATATGAAATAATAAAAGGGAAGTAGAGTCCTTTTGTTTAATGGTTATTATAAAACCCTGTAAATCCTTGAATTCTCATAGACTCACAGACTTTAAGGAGAGAAAGGACCATCATAATAATTTAGTCTGACCTCATGCACATTGCAGGCCACAGAACCTCACCCACCCACTCCTGTAATAGCCACATAACCTCTTGGAACAAATGTCGATATATTATGTACATATATTGCGTTTGAGACATACACTGTATAGTAGGTGATGAGATGTGCAGAAGTGTCCCATAGTGCAATTCTTGTTTAGCAGACAGTGATTTGTGTTGTCAGTCAGAAAAAGTTGTAGTGTTTTTATGCTAAATTCATCTTTGCTGGACTGAGAGTGATTTTGGAGGTGGACTTTTTAACATTTAGAACACAAGGTTGTGCTCCCATTTTTTTCATTGCTCCACTGAAATTAAAGGCTCCATCTCGTATCCTGATTGTTGTTGTTATAATTATTATCTTTTAATGTTTATATTGCAGTAGTGCTTAAAGACCTATTAGTGGTAGGAAAAGCCTATTTTCGAACGTAAGCTAGCTCTATGGGCTACAGACCACAATCATCTTGGGCCCTATTGTGCTAGGTGTGGTACAAACATATAATACATTCTGCCCCTGATAGCTTAGAGTAGGCACACAGACAAACCAACAATAACAGAGAGTGATTATACAGAAGTTACTAAACGCAAGACACAAATTAAATTTACATCTGAAGTAGGAGATAGGCTGGGGGAAAGAGGGAGGGTGTTTCATCCCAGACTAATTATGTTTTTAGAATTTGAGAAGTTTGTATTTGAACTGTCTGACCAAACAAAAATGATAAAAATTAATAACAATAATTTATTAATAAATAATAATAATAATTTGAATAGTAATATCTCTCTCCTGGCTGGTGAAACTAATAAATTCAACAGTCAGTTTATTGCTAGTGTGTCCCCTAGCTGTGTAAAGTTCAACCAGGTGAACCAACTCATGACACCTGTCTGTGTCCTAAACTGGAACTGAGAGGTGATTGATGTGCAGTATACCCTGCTATGACCCCTGGAGCTGTCAGTTCATAGCTTGTGTCTGACACAAAGCAGCACTGGATGGTTTGAGAGGCCGTGTCTATCTCTTATTCATATGACTCTGTCACAAAGGAAGGAGCTATTCATTATTTTGGATTCAGTTATGCTATTTAGGAAATATTATTTGTAAACTTTTGAAGGCTGAATTCTGCTCTGACTTTGGGTTTGAGTCTACCTGTATTGTAAAGTTCCCATTGATATGAGGGGTATAGACTCCAGTGCTTACACTCCATGCAACCCCATTGCACTCAGTGTGGTTGCCAGGGAATAAATCAGAGCAGAATTTAGCCTGACAAAAACAGTAATCTGCACTGGAGTTACCCTCCTCTTTTCTTAAATCCGCATAGATATTTTCTTCGCAATACAAAAGGACTCGTGCTGTCATGGATGTAGTGACTGGAAGGCTTGCACGCACCGATGCTCTCTTAATGTTCTTCTCTGTTAACACATTCCAAATTATTACTTGAAGTATTTTTTTCTATGCTGAGTAGTGTTTTTTGACTAAAAAGGAAGAAGAATCACAATTGTTCCTCAAAACAAAACAGTAACCAAACCAGCATGCATATGACAAAAGCAGTGCATAATTATAAACAGCCCACATTAATGCTGCAATTGGAAGATGTGATTATACCCCAAAATGTCAACATGTTCTCTCCTCCCTGCACTTTAGATAAAAACAGAGTAGCTGAAAATAGTTATTTTTTTTCTGCATATAATCCACCCATGGGGAAGGTCACAAGTTTACTTCTGGATACATAAAAACTAGTTGAAATACTGCAATAAATTTGATTGATAACAGAAAAAAAATGTTGATTTTTGCACATTACTAATATGGTGCCACTATTGAAGTACTCACAATTCTCCCATGCTACTTAGTACAAATATAGGGCTTTTAATCTTTCAAGGGCTTTGAGATAGTAATTGCAGTTTCTTGCAATATGTTTGGGAAACCTTACTATATTAACTTTATGACAGGTTTCAGAGTAGCAGCCGTGTTAGTCTGTATTTGCAAAAGAAAAGGAGTACTTGTGGCACCTTAGAGACTAACAAATTTATTTGAGCATAAGCTTTCGTGAGCTACAGCTTATGCTCAAATAAATTTGTTAGTCTCTAAGGTGCCACAAGTACTCCTTTTCTTTATATTAACTTTATGTATCATTGTGGGCCAGGAACTGTAGGTAATTCTATATGGGAGGGTGATCAGCTGTTTTTAAGCTCTGGAGAACTGTGGTCATGCATTCATAACAAATATATATTCCTTTCCAAGGACCTGGACTTGTAGGGTTCTATCATGTCACCCCTCCTGTTCAATCTGCACTTGTGGCCACTGAAAGATAGTGAAACATTCTGACCTGCAGTGCCACCAATGTGTGGATGACACTCAGATCTACATTTCCTTTTTGTCCAGTCCTGATACAGCAAATTCTGGGCTTTCCGAGTGCACGCTGGGGTGTATGGGCAGGGGAAGTGGACAGACTCCAAACTGGCTTTGACTCAATCCTGATTTTAAGCAGAACTAATGATGATAGGTGGTATGAATCATCTTGGGGAACAAGCAAGGGTGCTCAGTGCATTTTCCTTTGGGACTGTAGGTCTCATTTTTGCCAAGAGATTGGGGCCATCTCAGTTCTTAAATTCCGAGGTAGCAGCTCTAGGACACAGACAAGACTCCATGTATTCTGTAGCAACTTGAACCCTAATTCTGGAGCAAGGTCCTTGGATTCTATGGCTTTGTAGAACAGCAGACTGGAAATTCTGTGGCAGCTTCAGTTTAAATTTGAAAATGGAGGATTTTCTTGAAATAAGTATGAAAGCGAACAATACAACCAGTACAGTACTTAGTGTGTTATTTGCTTTAATATTCAATTCAGTTAACAATGCTGATTTTTAAACTATCTTTAGGTTTTCAGAGATACCACCCCCTACAGATGAGTTCACACGTCTATGAGCTTTTCTTTCGGACGATCATCTGCAGATCCAGTCAGATATGACTGCATTGGTTACACTTGGGTCACGTTTTCAATGTTATTTTCACAGCCATGAGGACAAAGAGGATATTGAGCTGGATGCTCAGCTGGCATAAGTTGTCATAGTGCCCGTGTTTCAGTGCCAATTCATGTCAGCTGAGGATCTAGTGTCTTTGTTTTTTAAAACGAAAGCTTAAATTCTGAAGCATGATCTTGCAGCAAAGATTGGATTATATGGATGCAGAATCATGGAGAATACAGGGTCCTGGACACAGTGCCTGTTTCTATCTAACATAGGTCTAGAGGCTGTGCCTCTTTCTTTATGATGCGGACCCTGGCATAGTGACTCAGTCCTTTGTAAACTGTAACGTGGATTACTGTAACACAGTGCACTTGGAGCTACCTTTGAAAAATGTCTCTTAGGTGGGGGTCAAGGTACCATATTGATGCATAACACCAAGGCCAAATTCTGCCCTGACTCATACCGTGTGCAACCCTGTGCACTTTAGTGGGGTTGCAGAAAACGTGAGTGAGGGCAGAATTTGGTCCCAGCACACTACTCTCCAGCTATCTATTTGCATCAGAGTGCAATTTTATTAGGTTGGTTATCACCTACAAAACCCTAAATGCTCTAGCATAGTTATCCCAGAGGACTGCTTCTCTCTACAGGGCACAGGGTTTTACTTAGTTTGGTCAACCCACTGAAATTAGTTTGCTTTCACATAATACTATGAATTGGTTTTTTTTATGTTGTTGCTCTGGAATGGGGGTTTGCATGGTTAGTCCTTAAGATCAGAGGCTGGTATTTTCCAATGGTTTTTATAAATGTAAAGTATTTGCCAAAGGGCACCAAAATACATTTATAAATAAACAAAACACAGGACTCCTGCCAGGAGGAGCACAAATGAAATTCACCAGACTAACATGTAGTTGTTTTCTTGTGTTGTCCCTTCTATTTCTTCATCCCTTTATTTTTCGTTTTCCATCTCCATGCCACTTTTCCCTTTTTGACATTTTCTTACCTCCTGCTTTTTTACTTTTAAAAGCAGTACCCTTTCCTCTCATTTTCTCCCTTTTATATTCACATTCTTTGTTTTCCTCCCCTTTGCCAGTCTCATGTCCCCTTGGTTTCTTTTCTCTGCTAATATCTGTCTTCTTTGCCAGGAGTGATATGCCTAGTTCCTTGGACCTAATCCTTGTTCTGGTGAAGCTCCACCATGTGATGGAATGGCAGATAGGCATCCCTTTCTGCTATAGCCTGGCAAAATGGTTGCCTTCTCCCCCTCCTCCCTCATCTACTTTGTTTCATGGCTCCCCCTGTCAGTCAGCCCCATGAAGCAGAAGGCTAGAGCCTGCTTGGAGTGGAGCATCCACTGATTACTTCATGAAGCATCCACTGATCACTTCATGAAGCTCTCACATCCCCATACAGCTAAGTTAGTGTCAGGTGAGTAAATGAGAGAATCTTGGGGATACACCTGTGCCTGAAATTCTGTATATATCACCTTCTTCTGTAACAGGTGTACATTCAGTTCTATAGGAGTGAGGTGGAAGGTGGGTGGCTTTCAAGGAGTCACTTATTGCTTTACTCAGTTACTGAAGTGCATCTGTATTGAGAAAGGACACATTTGAGGTCATGCAACTTTTACCACCTCCGTTATTGCCTTCCTGGCCCTACACCGGATTAGTCTGAGCCCCTGGCAAGGCACCCACCTCTAGAATGAGAAACACTGCTCTAGTTCAAAGATACAGCTAGTTCCTATCTCCTTTACTTCCCCCATTCTGATCTTTCAGTCTCCTTTATGCTTCTCCCTATATTATATTGTTACTCCTTGGTCCTCCCCAGATCTCTGCCCCTAAAATTTCTCTCTCAACCCTGTGTTTCTTGCTCACTCTCTCTCCCTGAGCTCCCCAGGCCAGTTTCTGACTCAGGGATGAAATTAACCCTGTGTTGAAAACCAGCGCAAGACCTGTTTATCATGACCCACTTAAGCCCTAAATGTAGGGCCTAAGTGGTGCATAGCCTTTCTACTGGACCTTTGCACATGGATGACCTTCATCTCAAAAGTTTTGCTTGAGTATTGTAGGATTTGGAACTTTTGTAAGATTTGGTGAGATCTGGAAAGAAGGTTGTATAACTGGTTTATCTTATCAATAATTATAATTGGATAGTTTCCTTAGCTGATAGACTAAACCTTGGCCAAAGTCATATACTACATTAAACTAACAACAGAAAACTAGATGCGTTTGTTTTTAAATTATGATTTTTTGTTAAGCATGAGATTTGTTGTATCTACAGAAAAAACCCAAAACAACTCAGTCTTTGGATAATCTGTTAGAAGAGTGAAATGCTATCATCTTTATTCTACCCTTGATTTGTTGATACTAGTCAGTTATAACCTATAGACCTGTCGTTGGTAACTATATTTTAAATCCTTGAGCAATTAATTCAGAGAAAGGGTTATACATTATTTAGTATGCATCTCGGTTAAATCAAAAAGTCAAAGGGACTAATTGTACTGCTCACCATTGTGAGTAAGGAGTTCATAATTTGGCCTGTATGACAGAAGAATTATCTTTTACTGTATTTCTTCATCTCTAGTAGGGTTGTTGCACTAATTCTTCTATGGAGTCCTTTCTCTGAGAGCACATGCAGTATCGAAATGGAACTGATGAAGCAGCTCCGGCTTCTCCCTAGGACAGAAAACAAAAGGAATAAAAATAGATACCTAATTTCAGCAGTTATAAATTCATCACTAATTAAAGACTAACTATGCAGTTTTCACTGGCTATTGTGGTGAAAAATTAGGTAGATAATTTACAAAATTTATTTATCCTCTCAGCTTTAAAAAAAATCTATTTAAAGATCAAGTAATACACAATTCAGTTTAATAGGACACCATCACTATATAATTTACGCATTGCCTATGTTCATTAACTAATGAGATTATTTTTATACCACATAAAAAGGTCATATTTTGAAAACATGAGATTAGTTTAAAATATAATCCAGCCATTTGGTAGTAGTACATTCCACAATGTAAAATTTGTTCCAGGAATTGTGTTATGCCACATTTTAAGTACTTTTTAAATTAAAATTTAAAACATATACTAATATAAGTCTAAAACAGCTAAATGGCAATGGGACAAAAAACACTTAAACTTGATACTGGTTACATGAGATTTCACTTGAGAGGGAACATAATGAGGACAGCATGACAAGATTTATTTGGTCATCTATATGCCTTTATTACTCCTAGGGGAATTCTGTGCCACTTCACACATGCAGAATTCATGTGTCCTTTTCTCTGCAGAAAATATATTCTGCTGGAGAGGCTCTGCAGTTACACCTTTTGCCCACCAGGGGCTGCTGTGGCATCAGAACAGAGACAGCTGGCTCACTGCTCACCTGCCATAGCAGTCAGCAGCTGATAGGGAGAGAGCAGAGGCTGCATTCCTCACAGCTCCCTGCCTGTGGGGCCAGGTGAGGAAGCATGAGATATGGGGGAGAACAGACAGAGCGGGGTACACAGGGCTACTGGGGGGGATCACATAGGCTGGTTCAGAAGGACTAGTTGGGGGAACAGACAGGACTGGAGCTGAATGGGAGTGGGGGTGCAGGGTGGCTCAGTTGGAGTGCAGGGCCAGAGGAGGATGGGGAGAGCTGAGTGGGAGTGTAGAAACTCCGGGGGCTAGGAGGGGCAGGGACACATGGGGACAGGGGTTTTAGGGACACATAGGGATGCGGGAGGGGTTGCTGAGTGGGGGTGCATGGACACATAGGAACAGGGGCAGGGACACATGGGATGGGGGAGGGCGTGCATGGAGATGGGCAAGGCAGGTGCAGGGACAGATGGGGACAGGGAGCAGGGGGTGGCTGAGTGGGGGTGCAGGGACATATGAGGACAGGGGGAGAAGGGTGCATGGGGGACAGGTGAGGCGTGTGCAGGGACACATGGGGACAAGAGGAAGGGTGGCTGAGTGGGGGTGCAGGGACACATGCATGGGGCGCAGGGACACATGGGGACGGGGTAGGTAGATGTACCTGACTGATTGGAAGGGGCTAGGAGTCGGCCAGAGTCTGCACGGGGAAGGCTCCCCAACTTCCCAACAATCCCTCTTTACTTCACTCCCCCTCCCCCGCCCAAAAAAGTTCCATACTTCTCCACCCACACCCAACAACCCTCCAGGTTCACTCCCAGGCTCCTTCCCAGCAACTACTTCCTTCTCCTTCAGCTCCACCATTACCCCTGACTCCCCCAAGCCTTTGAACAGCTTCTGAGGGGCGCGGGAAATACGTTTCTGTATTGTAGTTTAAATGAATTATTCCTCAAAGTTCTGTATGCCTAATAAGGAATCTATTTGTCAAAAAACATTTCCTGAATCTTTTTTGTTGTCTGTATTGTTACAGACATACTTGTTGAAAGGAATTTTGAAATAAATTACCAAAATAATTAAAACTGGCGTGACTATATTATGTTATTTTGACAAAATATGCAGAATTTTAAAATATTGTGCACAGAATTTTTTTTGGCACAGAATTCCCCCAGGAGTACTTTAGGGAAGAGATGTAATTTGAAACTATTACTTAGATAATACGCTCCTTGGGAACAAGGACTAGGTCTTCCTGTGGTTTTCTTACAGGACTGATCTCACCATAGATGCTAGAGAGTCCAGGCCAAATTAACCCTAGTGTAAACTGATGGAATTCCATCAAAATCAGTAAAGTTGCATCTTTTTACACCCAGTTCTGAATTTGGCCCTTAATCCAGAATTTGAACTCTCATACATCTGTTGACCAATTTCAGATCAAGACTGCCCTCCACTGGTTGCTTCTCTTCAATAAAACAATATTCTCTTCAGGAGGCACTGGTTCCTTCACTCCATTCACAGAAAGGTGTGTGATCTTCTCATGTATGACTTTGTGCTTGAGAAAATTGGAAGATCTGAAGGACTACAGACTCAAGGGGTGTTCTGGAGCCAGCAACAGGGGACTGAGGAGTAGAATCTTGTCTCCTGCCTCGTCTGCTACGTGCTTTGCCTTTGAAAAAAGTCACTTACTACTTGTAGTTGGCTAACCGCTGATCACTAAAGCTTGTAGACTGTTTTTTGGGAGGACATGATGACTGGAAGAGCCTTCATCCACCCCCTTCCCCTTTATCCTAGATTTTCTGGAATAGATAACGCCTGAGAAACTTGGCAAATCTGAGGAGCTGACTTGTCACCTTTTCAAACTCTGACCCAGAAATGCCTTCTCATTTCAAATTTTCTAATTGAAATGCCTTCTCAATTAGAAACCATATGCCTACGGTTGCATCCGATGAAGTGAGCTGTAGCTCACGAAAGCTTATGCTCAAATAAATTTGTTAGTCTCTAAGGTGCCACAAGTACTCCTTTTTTTTTTTTTTTTTGCATATACCTGACAAAAATCTCATGGAATCCATGAATGTATCTGAATATAGGAAGCTGCAGTGGAAAGTTTTTATGCATTACTATCCTTACCTTTTGTTCTTGATGGTCACCATTCCTGCTAAGAAAGGCTCATGGAAAGGCTTTCTGATGTGGAGTCAGTTTGCTTTTAAAATTCATGAGCTATTGAAAGCCCCCTAAACCAGAGCTATTTGGCTTACAAATACCCCACAAGTGGGTCTGCAGAGTTCCTATGTTCCTTGAAGACAAGCTAGATCTTGCACAGATTAGAAGCTCTGACGACTGTGACAGACGAGCTTGTAAGTTCTGCAAGACTAGTGAAGAACTGTGCCATCCATCAAGAGCTAACCAGCATTATCAGCAGATCACTTCAATAACTCAAAATATTCCACCTAATCTTATCATTGTGCACTAGTTCCCTTTGAGCACTATTGAATAAATCACATTTAGACTTTCTAAATGGATCAAGCTTTTAAAACAAAACAAAACAAAACAAAAAAACAACAACCCCTAACTTTACAAAATGTGAGGCCTTGTTTCTCCACTGCCTTGCACCTAATGTCAACATTTATGCCTGTGCAAAGTGGGTGTAATACACTACCTGATCAGAATGATAATGTTTTACATTCACTCTGCACAGGTCTAAATGACTACACAAGGTGCAAGGCAATGGCGAACCAGATCTTTGAGCCTTCTCCCAAACCTCCCTTGTCTGATTAACCTCATATATTATCATTACACCTGTTTATTGCATTACATGTCTTAAAACAAATAAGCTTTCTTAAAGTACATTTTACAGGGAAACATGTTTTCTTCTAATTCACTGCATCTTGAAAACTATTATAATATTTTTCACACTTGTGAACAGGAAAACACTGTAGACTTGTATTGTAAAAACCATAAGCGATGCTTCTTTACTTCCTTTTCTTTCTCTTGGCAGGTGATATTTGTATGGTAGTGACAACTACGCATGATTAAAAACACTATTTCAACTGCAAACATATTGTGCCTAATCCAGTCCTACCTTTTAGCCTTTGCAACCCCAATAAAGTAAGTCAGGGCAGAACTGACCCATTTTGTCTGCTATATGACCCATATTCCAGAGGATGTGGCAAGCAGTAAGTCACGGCATTGTTGTGGGTAGCTCACTAAAGGGAAGAGTTCCAGGAAATGTGAGAATATACTTGTCTGTACCTTCATTATTCATTGCCATTATGCCAAGCTCAAACATATTTTCCATAGGAGACAAACCCGGGGGACGGGGGGCGGGGGGGGGGGGAGGGAACGACACACACATGACATTGGATTTAGGCAGTTTGTCTAACAAATTTCTATTAAAATTTAAAAAAAAAAGATTTTAAATTATCTCCCACCCCCACAAAAAAAATGTTACAGAGGTAATAACTTAGAAGACACACCACTGGAGAATAAGAATAGTTGCACTTTGGCCTTTATTGTAACTAGGCACACATGAAAAGTCACCCAGTACTTTAGACTCCCTCTTACAACTGGGCATAATTCTGAATATGCAGATAGAATGCAGCCTTAGGATCTGAGCCTGCCAGGAGTTCCATGCAGACAGCCTCTGGGCCCAGGCCTACCCTCACTGGTTTCAGTGGGGTTCTGCCCACCCAGAGTTCATTGAAGGGTCAGGTGTTTTGCTCTGAATGTCTTTGTTTTTAACCAGTTTATTAGATAGCTAGAACTAAGGTGTTAAAATAATGTTAACTTTTTTAATTCATAAAAGTATGAAACTGAATTCTCCGATTGATAATGGAACAGCCATTGCACCACCATGTACACTGGAAGTGGCAATGGGCACTTCTGCTGACACAGTGACAGCCTGCTCGACTTTCCTTTACATTATAACAGCACCTGTACTGACAGCGTAACAGCTTGGAGGAATGTTAGCATATGAGGAATTTCCAGTGTAAAACAAAGCAGAAATTGTCATGTATCAAAACTAGGAATTATAATGGTTCCATTTCACTTTTATCACATAGGAAGAGTAATTAATACTGATGCCTAGACATTGCAGTTTAGACAGGCTCAATCCTGCCAAGAGCTCTTTATGCACATGTGCCAGTGGAGCAGATGGACTTGCAGGCTAGGAACCCAAGTCTCTAACGAAAATAACATGGATTCCAAAGGGAGGGGTGTTTTCTCCCAGTACACAGCATGAGTCTGTTTTAACTAGAGTTGCATAAATATTAGGGTCTATCCCCAACCATGAGAATTAACATAACCATTTTAATTCAGCAGAG